TGGAAGGAGTATACATTTCCTAGTGCCTGAAAAAAAGCTGTAGTCATCTCCAGGAAAAGATCCACCAGGAAAAGATCCGAAAAAGGCTTTCCAACTACCGGCCGATAGCCCTTACTAGTTGTGTGTACAAACTGTTTGAAAAAATGGTTAACCGCCATCTTGTATATTACCTTGAAAAAATATTGTCTCGCCATATCAGAGTGGTTTCTGTAGAGGCTACCATCGACATTATGCTCCTTCTGGAAACCTCTATTCGTAAAGCTTTTGTCAGAAGATGCCACATGTCTTCTGTCTTCTTCCACGTAGAAAAAGCTTACGATAAGACGTGGAGATACAGTATTTTGCGTGACATACACACTTATGGCTGGTGAGGTAACCTGCCTATCTTTATCTAAAATTTCTTGAAGGCCTAGGACCTTTTTAAATAAAAATTGGCTCGGTACTATCAGATGTCTTTATACTAGAAGAGGGTGTGCTTCAAGGCTGTGTTCTGAGCTTGACACTTTTCAGTTTAAAAATAAACTCTAAAGGAACTTCTTGCAAGGGTCTCAGGCTCTTTATATGTTGACGATCTCCAGATAAGTTGCTAAGGGGCAGATATGAGGTATGTTGATCAGGCAATTACAGATCGCTCTTAACGGGATCCAGGCATGGTCCTTCAAATAATGGATTTGTATTTTCAGAACAGAAGACTGCTTGTGTACATTTCTGTAGAAAATGAGGTGTCCATCCAGAGCCGGAGCTTTATGTCAAAAGCTCACAAATTCCAGTTGTACATGAAATAAAATTTTTAGGGTTGGTATTCGACCAAAGGCTGACTTTCCTTCCACACATTCAATATTTGAGGAAGAAGTATTTTAAGATACTAAATATATTAAAGGTGTCGACGAATACCACCTGGGGTGCAGAACATGGCTCAATGGACCGCATTTACAGAGCCCTTGTACGCTCTAGATTGGACTATGGATCAGCACGGCCTTCTGATCTATTAAGACTAGATCCAATTTACCATCAGACATTCCGGAATTGTTCTGGTGCTTTCAGAACTTCTACAGTTCAAAGCCTATATGTAGACCTTCACTGAATTTAAGGCGTGAGCAGTTGTCTCTGTGCTATTATTTAAGATATTTTCACTACCTGGCCATCCTTGTAAGGTAGATCTGTTGGATGATATGTTTGAGCGTCTGCTTAATGTTTGACCTTCTTGTGTACCTTATTTTCTGCTGAGGGTTCGCTCACTACTTGAAGAATATCAAATAACACATTTGACCATCCAGGCAGTAAAATATTTTGAAATACCACTTTGGGAAAATGTTCCGTTTCAGGTCCTTGGTATTTTTCAACATCTTGGCAAAAGAGAAATTAACGAGTTGGTGTACAGGCAGCTTTTTCTTCAGCACAGCAAAACTACAGTATTTATGTTCTAGGATTTACTGATGGATAAAACACAGCTGGACATGTTGGCATATCTTTTATTATTGGAGACCACATTGTAGGCAGACAATTGCCTGACGCTTGCTCAGTTCTTACATTGGAATTGACTGCTGTTTTTGTGCGCTCTTATTCATATCCACTTTAAGTGAGAAATCATTTGTAATATACACCGACTCGCTTAGTGTCTTAAAAGCATTAGAAGCATTTAGAGATGCCCAGAACCCTGATACTATAGTAGATGTCATCATTCTTGATCTAAATTTAAGGCACTGAGGGTATGAGATCTTGTACTGCTGGATACCCAGGCATGTAGACATAAGAAGTAATGTGTTAGCAGATGCAAGAGCAAAGTCTGCTATCAATATGTACAGTTGGGATGCCCCTTCTGACGATATCAGCAAATTTATCAAGAAGGAGGTATTAGATAAATGGCAGAAATATTGGGATGGGCAGGTAGATAATAAGTTAAGAAATGTGAAAACTAGAATTGAATACTGGAATTACTACTAGGAACCAGAAGGAGAAGGTTCTACTTACTCGACTTAGAATTGATCACTCACGGATTACTCACAACTATTTACTAAGAGCAGAGTGTGAACCAGTTTGCTTCTACTGTAATGCTGCTATCTCAGTTAATCATCTTTTAATTACGTGTCCATATTTTAAAAGACTTCGGTTGAAACATTTCAACCAATACGATTTGCATCTTGACCATTTAATCGGAAAAAAGGTGAATAGTAATTTATTCCAATACCTCAATATACGAGTCAGGTTTTTATTATTTAATTTGATTTTGTTTTGATGTTGTATCTTAAGAATATCTATTTTAGCATACTTCATGTTTTAGGATTTTACACCTCTGTACAAATCGCCTGCATTATAAGAAAGTTCATCTCAGCATCTGTCATTTTTTAGTTTCTTTGTATTTTATGCATTTCCATTGTTTTAACCTTGTCTGTTCGTCTCTTTTGTCTAAGCCTCGTTTGTATGGGTAAACAATTGACATGTACTCGGCACAGGTAACCTTTACAGTTTTGCGCCAGTAAAACTTACTATTACCACAACCCTCCCCCCATAAGGGCTATCAGAGAAAAGTCTTAAAAGTGCCATAAAGCTGATTATAAATAATATCTTCTTATACTACTTTTGTATGTTTATACTACTGTTGTATGTATTTTTAGCTTCTCTTACTGTTTGATGGAATTCAAATTTATATGAATTAAATTAGTCCAAGTAATAAATGAAGCTACTGCTCTTTTGTGTATGTTATGTTTATAAATTCAACATGAATATGTGTAAGCTTTAGAAATGCATTTAAACTTGATATTTTGAACTTTGTAAAGTCTTAAATATTTTGACACAGAGTTGTTTTAAAGAATATAAAATCGTTAATGTGTCTGGCATTATGTTACTTATTTATAGAGTATCATAGATTTTCAATCAGCTGATTAAAGTCACTGAGTTAAATTATTTTAAACAAATTATTTTTTTAAGTTGCTTCTAATCAAAATTCTAAAATTCAGAAACATTGTACTTGAAGGAAATCTTACATTAAAGACTCAGATTTTTTTAATCTGAGTTGTTTTTGGGGTATCTTGTTTAAAAATACATGGTTTTTAAATATATGCTGAAATACATTTGTTTATGGTCCACTGAATTTAGCTATATTGCAGAGTTTAGTAGGTATTAGAATTATTTTTAATTGAGCAGTGTTAACAATAAGCTGAATATTAGACCTGTTTTTATTCACAGAACGAAACAAAGCCTACTTACTAGAAATTCATAGTGAATTGTTAGTAATTCATAGTAATTTTTTAACACCACAAGAAATATTTCAGTTATAAATCACTTTGAAGATTCAAGAGTTGTAAAAAAATTTTAATTCGGTTGAAAACTGGTAATGATGAAATTTAATACTAAAACAGTAACAGTAATGTTCTGTTGCAGATAATCTACATATTGAACAGTAAGGTTACTATTAAATTTCATTGGGAAGATTAAGAAATAATAAAAGAAAGTGATTATGATTGAAGAATTAGCAGATTTAGACTTTTATTTTTTGTTAAATGTATACTCTTATTGTGTAACTGTATAAACAGGCATAAACTCTGATACATGTGAGTACAGCAATGAGCAGATGTTCTTCATCAAAGCAAGTGCAAAAAATAGCTCAGTGTTGCAATGTTAACTTCATTTACTGAACTGTGTTTATTTGTATTTGTTATAAATTTTTGTAATAAGAAAGCTAGGTGTTTTTAAGGCTGAATTTTTACTTTTAGTCTCTTCTTAAAGAATCTGCTGTAAAAAAATAAGATTTTAATATTTTATGTGAAATGTATCTCTTGAACTCTTCGCTTTCAGGTATATATATTATATATATATATATATATATATATTTAAAAAAAAAGAAGTTTTCACGTGGGGTTGTGACCTTGGAGCACTGAATGTCACTCTGTGCAGGAAGGTGTTTTATAATTAAGCCTACCATGCAAAAATAACTCCTACAAAATCTTTTTATCAAAATATTGGATTCTTATGCATTTTATTTAAGTGTTGTTTCTTATAATATTAATGAAAACTCCTAGTACTTAAAGATTCAAAATAAGTTAATGTGCAATAATGATTATATTTACATTTTAAAATTATTTCTGTACAACCACGAATTAAAGAACTTGAAAATTTAAATATCAGTGTCTATTATATCCTATTGCCATATTTACAAACAAAATTTTAAGCTGCTTGCACTATGTGAAATATTTCTAAATTCAGAATGTGCACTGTGAGCATTGCACATTTTACAACTGTAAAATAACAAGGCTATTTAAGAGATTCCTTTCAATAAAGTTTTGAAGCAGTCTGACATAATTTATTTATGCACATTTAAAATTTGAAGTAAAACATTCCAATTCAGAATTTCAAATATGTTGTGGTGGGCCAACAGTTACACTTCATTCTTGTATCACATTTGATATGATGGGCCCACAGAGGGAAACTGAAGCTTATCGTGCATGATACGCCGGGAGTGAAGAGATTAATAATGTACTTTTTAATGTAAAGTTTATAGCAGATTGGTTCTTCTCAGTTTTTTATCCTCTTAATTTATTTAATTTACTTCTAGTGCTTTTTCTTTACTTGTGGGAGGATAAGATTAACATTCTGTATTTGAACCTTTTGAAAATTATGAGGATTGCTGCAATTTTCTATGTCAAAATAATATGATGGACTTCAAGCATATGTTTATTAAGAACTATACTTTAGCCATCATATACTTACTTTATATCCCAATAATATTTAATAGTGTATAATATTTGGAATAAAATTGATGCATTAATGTATTGTTAATAACACATTGATATTCAAACTAGGGTTGAATTTTTCATGTAAAATATTTTGTATGAAATGTAAAAGAAAAACTGTTTCCTAAATTTTAATTTATAGCTCCTGTCATTGAACTCTTATGTAAGCTTACTGTGATTTTTCAAGCTCTTAAAATATATGTAATATCGTATTAAGATTATTATGTGATATAGTGCTTGCTTTAAAAGTAATTGCTTTATCGTTTTAAGGATTACAGTATGATAAAACATCATCTGGTTGGAAAGCTCTTTCTCGTGTTGCTCGCCTTTGTAGTAGAGCAGAATTCAAATCTGGTCAAGAAAATGTTCCTATTCTTAAAAGGTAACTATTCCTTGAATTTGTTAAGCATTTCACTAAAACACACTTCCTTCTTATTTACAAATTTTTATTATGGAACTATTCTTTTAAAGGGAGTGTATTGGGGATGCATCAGAGTCTGCTATTTTGAAATGTATGGAATTGGCGACCTCAAATGTAGCTGCCTATCGAGAAAACAATTCTAAAGTTTGTGAAATACCTTTTAACTCTACAAATAAATATCATGTAAGTATTAATCTTTGTATAAATTTTAAAATATTTTTAATAACTGATGGAATACATAACATATGTCAGGAGAATATTTACAATGTTTACAAATAAATATTGTTTTCGTGAACATGTGCAGTCCATAAAACACTACTGTAAAATATCATTTATCAAATTTTCTTTGTTTTTTTTAAATGAATGAGATAATATTTAATATGTTTGCATAAACATGAATGTTACATTGTTGGTAAAGAATATTTTAAATGCGGTACTTTCCAGTCGGTTAATTATAAAAATTCATCATCAATAAGGTTTATGAATTATTTTATTTTTTACTTTTACAGGAGGGATTAAGCTATTTCTTTTAAATGATGAACTCTAAGAATTTAATTGTTTATTTTCATTGTTCCAGCTTAAAATATATATGAAAAATTGTCCTATATAAAAAATATGCCATCAATTGGTACAGTGATTAGTGGTGCTGGAAACCACATTCTTGGGGCTAGGTTCAAATCTTGAAGAAAGCTTGAATGTTTAATGTCTGTGCAGCATGGGGGAATTTAACATATTGGCAATCCAGAAGAAAAGAGGGATGGCCTCATCGCAACAAATCCAGAAATTATCGTATCAGCAACTATACAGACAGGATCTCAGTATCACCCGTGCAACAGATCAAAGTTCCTAGAATATACATAATAGGAAGCACTAACTCATGCAGTCCAGTAAGCAAAAAGAAATTTGTTACTATCACTCCTGATTTCATGATAAAGCATGTAAGTGTAAGCCTCCATGCTCGTTCCAACAGACTTCTTTAAACTGAGTGGGCCGTCATTAGTCGATTATTTGTAACTGATAAATTGTCAGGCTGGTGCTTTCTTGTTGATACAGGTGCGGACATTTCAGCATTACTTCTTGTTGATACAGGTGCAGATATTTCAGTATTACTTCTCTCTTTCTTACCGAATCAAAATGTTCATCAGGAAAATTAAACTGATTTGCAGCTAATGGATCGAAAATTGCATCATTTGGAGAAATATTAATGTCTTTAGACTTAGTTTGCATCATAAATTTCAGTGGCCATTTGTCATAGCTGCAGTTTCAAACCCAATAATTGGTGCACTTAGTGCAAAAATTTTCTCTTTTAGTCGACATTAAAAATCAATGCTTAATTAACTCAATCACACAATTGTCTGCTGTAGGTGGTATCGGAAATGCCACTAATTTCGGATTTAAATTAATTTCCGGTAATTCTCCTTTCACAAACTACTTGAGCAGTATCCTAACCTCATTTGCTCAGTAACCGGCAAACCAAGTGCTGACCTCAGTATTGTACATCACGCAGAGACCACTGGACCACCAATCTGCCAAAGCAAGGCGATTGCCTTCTAAGAAATTAAAGGTTGGAAAAGATTTTAAATGTATGCTTGAACAGGGAATTTGTCTTCCCTCAAAAAAGTTCATGGGCCAGTTACTGCACATGGTCCTTAAGAAAGACAGCGACTGGCCTCTTTGGGGAGACTGCTGGCATCTTAACACAGTTACTTTGCCTAACAGATATCCAATTCCTCATATTCAGGACTGCATGCAAGTCTTGGAAGACAAAAATGTTTTTTCTACTTTAGATTTAATTTATCAGATCCTAGTCCATACACCTGATATACCAAAAACTGCGGTCATAACTCTTTTTGGATTATTTGAATTTCCTGTTATGATTTTTGAGTTGTGTAATGCTACATATGTTTCATTGTTTCATAAATTAATTCCTTCATGACTTAGATTTTTGTGTGCCATATTTCGATGATATTCTTGTAGCTTCAACAAACGAAAATGAGCACTTTGAACACCTTCATTTCGTCCTTGACCGATTTCAGTCCTATGATGTAGTTATAAATCCATCAAAATGTGTTTTAAGGAAATTTAAAGTGTCATTCCTTTGTCATGAGGTTTCCTTGGAGGATGTTTGTTCGCTTAGTGATAGTTCCTGCAATTCAGAATTTCCCAGAGCCCAAAACTCTCCAAGAGTTTTGCCGTTTTCTGGCCATGTTAAACTTTTATCGTCGCTTTCTTCCTCATACCAATACAAAGCAGACGCCTTTGCAAACGTATTTAATTAGCAGCAAAAAGAAAGATACATGACCAATCATTTAGTCAGCTGAATCTCATACAGCCTTTGTACCCTTTGTAATGAGTACCTAGCATTGGCAACAGCTCTTAGCTACCCTTCTAAGCATCTGTTAACATTAACAGTTGACACGTCTAATTTGGCCATGGGTGCGGTTTTACAGCAACATATAGATTAAGCATGGAAGCTACCAGCATTCTTCTCAAAAAAACATTTCTTCAGCATAATCAAAATATAGCATGCATGATCACAAACATCTTAGTTCATACGAGGCAGTTAAGCATTTTTGTCTCAAGTGTTTTTTTCTATTTATACCAACCATAAGCCTCCAATTTTCACCTTCCAACCAAAGTATTACAGGGCGTCCATCAGACAAATGTGTCACCTTGATTATATAGTGCAGTTTACAACTGATATTAGGCATGTTGAAGGCTCTCAAACTATGGTTGCTGATGCTCTGTCCAGAATTGAAGAGGTTTATTGCCTTCAACAGATTTCTTCACAATTGCAGAGTGTCGGAAAATGATTCAGAATTACAAAATCTGCTGTCTGACAAAGCTTCACATGAATTTAATTTATTACCTATGCAGCTGGAACCAAATCTTTCACTGTACTGCGATGTGCTGGACAACGTGGAGCAGTCATGCATTCCACTGAAATTTCGACATGGTATTTTTAGCAGCCTTCACAATTTATCCCATCCTGGCATCTAAACTTCCCGCATGTTAATTCAACAAAGTATTGTATGACCTGGCATGCTGAAGGACATCTCTGTATGGGCTAGAGCATGTGCAGATTGTCAAAGATAAAAAATCATAGACATACTCGAACTCCATTGCAGTGCTTTGAATTACTATCTCTTTGCTTTAGCCATGTCCATATCAATTTGGTTGGACCCTTGCCCCCATCACAAAGTTATACATATCTCCTTATGTGTATTGCTGGTATCTCCTTATATGTATTGTACACACATGCTGGCCAGAGGCTATCTGTATTGTGAATATGTCAGCTGACACAGTGTCCAAATTTTTTTTTTTTTTTAGTGGACATGATTTGGAGCACCAAAAGTGCATTACCACAAACCAGAGATGACAGTTTGAGTCTCAATTATTTACTACATTAAAGAAATTCTTGGGAGCTAAAAAGATCCACTCATCACTGTACCATCCGAATTCCAATGGACTTATTGAAAGATTCCATCGCTGTCTTAAACAGGCCATTAGATGCCATACTTCTGTTCACTGGGTTGATGTTCTGCCCACAGTGTTGTTAGTATTAAGAATGGTTTTTAAAGAGGACATGAGTTCTTCTAATGCTGAAATGGTGTACCGTATTAATTTACATTTACCTGGAAATTTTATAAACTGTACAAAAAACTCAATGTTGAGTCTCAGACAATTGCAAAAAACCATGGCTGCATTATCTCTTACACCCACGAGTGTATATTCTTAAACATCTGTGTTTATTCCCAAAGAACTTGTTAAATCATTGCATGTGTTTAAAGTGTGATGCATCAAAAATGTTTTTGCAGCCTACTTATACAGAGCCACATCTGGTTCTAGGTCGCACATCCAAGAACTATCGGACACTTATTGGAAACAAACAGTAGTGAGCTCTGATAGTCTTAAACTGGCCTTTGTTTTTGTACCAAAAACTGTCAAGACTAATACTTCAATTGCACCTTCTTTAAAGGCACCTACACCCTCATCCCATGTGTCTACACCTCCAGTTGTCACAATATCATCGCCTATGTCTGGATGCCAGAAGCAAAGTGCTCCTCAGCATACACATTATGGACGTAGGGTCTGATTTAACCTTCGATACCTTTACTTTAATTGACATTGGAGGGGGAGTACTGCGTTGATACTAAAAGAACCTGTTTTTGCTACTTGTCAACCGTGTGCCCGAATCTCTAGCTGTAACTGTAATGGAAATTTTAGAGATACACAACAAACAACACTCTGTTCTCTGTTGCCGCCGTGCTTAGACGGATTTTTTCTCCGGTGGAAATATGATCAGTGTTAGTTTAACGAGTAGTTACTATGTTGTAATTAAAGTTTTTTGTTATTTAAAATCAAACATCTTCATGTGTGTAATTCATCATACACAAAAACTTAGCAAAGCCTCTACGTATATTTATTTTTGCACTCAGCATGCTGTGACACTCTGATAAAGTCAGTTTCAAAAAGGCTCAACTTCTTATCACATGTGACAAGGAAGTAACAATACTTTTGGGATGACATCTGCTAATAATTCAACTAAAAATCAAAGGCACCATGGCAAGAGTTTCTGTTAATTTTGACAGGCTGCTCAGAATTTACGACATTTCAATAGAAATCTGCCTCAAGTAAAGCTAGGATAGATATATAGGTATGTTCTGTGACATGTCAGGGGAATCGGCAAGCTTCAGTTTCTGTTTACAGGCAAGACATGCAGCATCTAATGATGCAGTTGGATGATATGCATAAGTGTTACTGCTTTCAAATTCCTTATAGTTTAAACTGCAATTTGATGTCTAACTTCTATCTAAACTAATAACTTGTAATTTTAATATGTTTACTAGATATGAATGGACAAAGCTGGACTGGCTTCTATCATTTAAATGCATCGAGTTAATTTAGTAATGCTTGTTGGGCATGTAATGAAGTGATACAGTTTCAAGTAGTTCGTGAATGAGTAAAGTAGGGGCAAATATATTTATTTTGGTTAGTAGAAGTAGAGGGAGGAAATGGAATGGTATTTGAATTTTTACATATTGAAAACGTGGTGCTTCTTTTTGCATTTATCCCTTTGACGCGTGCAATATTATTTTTATAATTTTTTAACTAAAAATTCTAGAAATTGAATATTATGATCCTAGAGACAAATAATATATAAATTTAAAAAAATCTACTCTTGCCCATTGTTTTGTGGGTGGTGGTCGCACTGTGAAACCACCGCGCGTCTAGGACTTTGAAACTTACCTAGGTAGTAGGAAAAAAAAAACTTACCTTTTTCCGTGCGCATTTCCAATAAATGACGAAATTTACGAATTTTAAAAAAATGCATGTAAGAATTGCATAATATATATATTTTTTACATTATTTTACAAACTAAATCATCAGAAAAAATTTAAAAATAAACATTTATGTAATTTTTCTATAGCAGTGAAAGTATAAGTACCTACATAATAAGGACGTTTGGCTACATGGATTAGAAAACTCAGTAAAATAAGGATAAAAAAGACTTAGTGTTTTTTTTTAATTTTATTTCAATGAACAAATATTTTTGTGACACTGTTTAAAGTATGTTTTGTCTTTTTGGTACATGCATTGACCCACATTGCACGTTTTGCACATGTATCTTCTTCTATGATGTTTCTTCCTTGTGCTACAAAATGTACACTGATTGAATCTAAATCTCACTGGTATTATGTCCAGCGTTATTTAGTTTCTTTTTATCTGGCACATGAAATTTGTGGGTTTTTTATGTTAATGGGGGGGGGGACTTAGTCTTTTTGGCTTTGGTATGGATCATTCGTTTCCCATTCATACTTATTTTATTCGTATTCCATCTCAAAATATTCAGAAAATATTTTTAATTTAAATAAAACTTTACGCGATTTATATTTTTAATTACAGCAAAGTATATTTACATTAAATTTAAACCACAGGAAATAATTTATAAAATCACAAGACTAGCTTGGGGAGCAAGTGTGTTGAGGTCAGAGAAAAGTCTCTGGAAAAGAAAGACCTTTTTACTGGGCAGGTGCATGTATTGTTTAGTAATAAAATAACTCCGTGATTTCAAAAACCTTTATCAATATCCGGGTCAAAATAAACATTCCTATTTGAGAAGCAAGCAAACGCCATTGTGAAGAGCAGTGGTTTCAAGACGCGACCACCGAGCCTCTAGAGCATTGTGGCACGATGCTCTAGTGGGGCAGTGGTTGCGCCCTGAAACCACAAAGCAAATGCCATACATATAGAGGTTTTGTTTATACATATGCAGTTTAATTATTGCTATTTTTTAATGTTTATGATAGAAATCATGATGTGCGATGAATAACTTTTGAAATTTAAAGTTGTTTATATTAATAAAAGGAAGTTATTTTGTCTCATTGAAAACGAATTTGAAAAGGCATCCGATTTCAAGTACTAAGACCTAAAACATGTATGATTCTGTAGTCATTTTGTGTTACTTAGAGGTAAAAGATCAGTAATCAATTGATTTTCACTCAAAAATTTCGGAAGGAAGAGGAGAAAAAAATTCGAAAATTTGTGGTTTCAGGGCACGACCACTGCGCGTCAAAGGGTTAATACAGAAACCCTTTTCTTTGCATGTGGGATTTTTAAATTATGCCCTCGATTCATGTAAAGAAACACCTAACAGCACTCTTTAGAATATGATCTTTTAAATATTACTCTTTTGAATAATCTTTTAAATATTACTCTTTTGAATATGTGTCTCAATATCAGTTATAGTTTTGAGGCCAATGTTCATTAGTACAGTATAAAGTCTTTAATCTGGACTCATAGGGACTTCGGCGATTCCAGATTAGGGGTTTTTCTGGATTATAGATCATCAATTTAAATCTGGTAGGATAGCATGCAGCAATTATAAAATTTAAAATATGAAACCGTAATTTATGAAATAAAGAGCAATTATGATCTAAAGGGTATCAAAATTTAAAAAAAAAGCTTAATATTTATTTGTTTACTTTATTAAACATTTCTTTCAATGTAAGTTTAAGTTGCTTCGTTTTATGTTCTAATACGTTCTCTTTAAGTCTGTAAACAGCCATAATTTCTTGTTCAGTTGCAAAGTTCCACTGTTCAAGTCCTGTAATTGCTGTGCTGAGAATACCGACTAACTTGTCAATCGAAATTTTTTCATTTTCACTAACCTCTCTGTCACTTTCTTCATGCCCTTATCCATTTTTTTGCAGCAATTCCACTTTTTGTTTGATGGACATCGAAACATGCTTTCGCTTTGTAAGTTTCCTTGCCAGCTCCAGAATCGGAAACTCTTTTTGACATAATCGAAAGTTCAAGCTTACTTTTTATGAAATTGCTCTAACAGTCTGCAAAAAAATAATAATCCGGATCCAATTAGAAGATTAAGGAACAACGCAATCTGCAACATTAACTGAAATAGATAATTAGATAATTTTAGCCTAGCTTATACTGTCCATTATACATTAAACACACATGAGTAAACGTATTGTGCGCATGCGTAAACGTATTAGCTTTGAGGTCTGGATTATAGATCATTCCAAATTATGGACGTCCGGATTAAAGACTTTGTACTGTATTATAGAATGGGAGAAATAGTGAAGGTTTCTTTGACCAAATTTGAGTTTTACAGTTATCATTTAGATGACCTTATGTCTCAATATTTTCTCCTAAAGTTTGCAGCCTTTTGGTTATACTCAATGGAAACTTCACTCAAATCTGTAGGTGATAGTTGTTGTATGTGCACAATATTTTACAAAAAATTGAGATGATCTTGAATTATTCTATTTTTATCACCATGTTTGTTTACAAGATTTTAACATTTTTAAAAATTTGTTAATAAGGTTTTTATTAGCAGGCTGTTTTTCCTGTAAGGTATTCAAATGTTTCATGGCCACATCTTAATTGCCAGAAGATAGGGTGACATTTTGTTTCCATGGCAGCTTCACAACTTGACATACCTGTGTTATTTTGTAACACTTTTATTCCGTCAACTAATCTCTTTGGTTCATCTTCTAAATAACTCCAAAAATTAATGTTTATCATTGGCTGAAAAATGTGGGTTTATATTGAAAGAAGATTCAAATTATTCCCAAAACTATTATTCTATGTTTCCATGAATGGTTCAGGTTTAACTCTTGATAACTTCATAGGATAGGAATGAAAAATGGGTGCAAGAGTACTTAGGAGCAAATTAGAAACTAGAATGTTATGACAGGTATGACATTCTGAAATAGCTTTTCATGCTTTAAAAATAATGAGTTTGACACTGTCTGTATACATTTCACATTGTAACATCAGTGCACACATGCATAAAAGATTAAAAATTACAACTAAAATAAAATTTCATGACAAACAAGGAAAACTTTGTAGGACACATCATCTAAAACACAGTACAGAAAATAAAGGTTAGGAGTTAACCTCCTCATCACTACATAGGTATATTAATATTATTTGCCTTAGTAATGAGCTTTCTTTGTATAACAAAACTTCTGATCATTTTCTTTGAAGAGGAGGGAGTAATAATAATAATATCATTTAAGAATTCCAGATTTTGCAAATAAATCGAGTAATTCATTGCCATGTAGCCTAATCCACAGTTATATAATAAAAATTTGAATTGCATAATCATAATAATAAGTAAACAATTAAAGCTTGCACAGATATGCAGCAATCAAATAATATTTTGGAAAAATTTCAGAAGCCAGTTAAAAAAATTAAAGTTACTTTATTTCATGTATCCCACTAAAATTTTATATTAATATTCTTTTAATGAGGCATCATCAGTAATTCTATTAATTTTTTGTGAAGTGTCTATTTGTAGTAAGGTTATTTATTTAATGTGTTTAATAGTCTGAGTACATCTTTAGTATTTACAATTTCTAAAAAATGCAATAAGGAAAATTGGTGGAAATGAAATTAGCTTAATAATTAATATTTCAGGTGACAATCCATGAAACAGATGATGCAACTAATCCCTGTTACTTATTATGTATGAAAGGAGCCCCAGAACGAGTTCTAGATCGTTGTTCAACAATCTACATTAATGGCAAAGAGAAAGTTCTAGATGATGAAATGAAAGAAGCTTTTAATAATGCATATTTAGAATTAGGTGGCCTGGGAGAACGTGTGATAGGCAAGTAATTTTTTGCGTGTGTGCTTTAATCAATAATTTTTATTTCATTATTTTGTTTTTGCTTAGTGATTAAATCTCATTTACTTTTATATACAAGTTTAATGGTGTAGATTTACAAGTACACATGTCATAATGCATGAATATTGTACTGAGATGACTTTACCTTAATTCTTTAGTGGTGGTGTTTTTTTTTTTTTTTTTTTTTTTTTTTTTTCAATCTCCCTAAATTTTTCCTATGTCAAATTTCACTATAGTTATCATTTGATGATAGACCTAGTTGAGTCTTCTAAATTTTAATTATTTATTGAAGTTTTTTGAAACTGGTCAAACATAATATAAATTATGGAATTGTTAAATTTTTGCTTAATATTTTGTGGGGCAAAAGGAAATCACTCTTAAAATAATTTTAAAATATTTGCTCCCTCTGACTGATAAAAATAGTTAGCTTTTAATTTCTGAAGTTGCTGCTTCTCTCATTAAGTATTTCTGAACAAACATGAATATTTAACAATAAATTATTTAAAGGAAAAAAAAAATGACTTACAAATGTTTAAGGTTAAGCAAAGGTAGTGCAAGTATTTTTCATATAATAAGTTATGAAGAGTGTATTTAAATAAATTTTAGGACTGTTATACACATAGTTGATTAACCCTTTGGCAGTTGAGAGATTAAGCAATTTTTATTTTTATTTATTTATTTTTTTTTTTGCAATTACACAGTTGGCCATTAAAATTGCAACACCGGGAGGAATGCATGGTATTGCAATTTTAATGGCCAGCAGTGTATATGTGATATCTGTCAGCTGCAGTGAGAGCAGATGGTACTTGTTTTATCCCTAGATGCTTTGCTAAACATTCGAGTGGAAAAATCGAAACCTTTTTTGAAAGGGTTATGCATGTATCTTTATAGAAGGTTTCATTTTATGTTGAATTATGAAGCTAATAAAATAATACTTTGTATTTGCCATTATATTTCACATGTAATCTGTGATTATAATAATGCTTTAGTACCGAATCTTACAAACTTAACAAGTCATATAAGGTAATTAATTTACAAATCAATAAGGTATTATAGTATTATAATAATCTAAAACTTAAGGAATATATATATTTCTAAGCCAGTAATTTATAATTAGAAATCTTTTATATACCATCATCAAGGAACGGAAATCCAATTAAACCATGAATTAAAACAACATAGATATATGTACACCTAAAAATACTTTTGCATTGGGTAGAATTTGAAGCATGGAACGGTACGTGGGGCAACATTTTGCATTGCTAAATTCTCCACTTGATGATCTTCCAAACTTTCTAAACAAATATCTGCATCTGATGTTTATCTGATCTGTATCTCATGTCGATCAAAAATTTCAATTTAGATGGAAATGTCGGCCAAAAGAATGTAGTTTATATAGCAGTTAATGATTATGACTTAAGTCTGATCAGCAAATTAGTTTTTCTGGTGCTAGAAAGATTATGGAGGAATATATTTTTTAGCATGTTAAAAATTTGTTTTTAAAAAATTTGTTATCTCTTTATGACTCTGTAAGCCTTTTTTTTTTCTCATGCATTCTTATGATGAATGATGCATGCTCGAATTTTCACTCAGGAGTCTCCACTATAGGGAACTAGGTAATGAGCCTGTAAACATAGTCGTTATACTGGACGAGAACTAATTGATTACAGAAGCTAATGAAATCAAATTACTAGTCATCTTCACAACATTAACAGATTTTATAGTCAATCAAAAACAAGGTACAAGAAGCGTGTATCTGCACACGACTGCAAACATAATTGTACTACTTAATAGGATAGTTACATTCTTACAGTTTCTTAACAGTCCAGTCTTCTTATATGCATCAAGTAATGCAGTTAAACAAACAGCAAGAAAGTAAAGAATAATTCAGATGTCCAGTTAGGATTAAATCATCACACCACTTAGTTATGCCAACAAAACAAAAAAAAAAAAAAAAAAAAAAAAAAAATAATATATATATATATATATATATATATATATATAATATAAATAAATAAATAATAAAAATAAAATAAAAATAAAAATAAAAATTAAAAAAAAATAAATAAATAAATAAAATATTAGCAGCATTACACTCCAAACAATATGTTTTGTGGATTCATTTATTGTTTAGTTTGATACCACTTCCAAATCACTGAAGGAGGTTCCGGCTAATATCAGTTGGTATATTTTTGTGAATCATGGTGAGATTCACTAGCCAGCAGGCATTTGAGAGACACAACACAGGTGTCTTTTCTTAAGCATGTTCTCCATCCTAAATTTTGCAAAATTCTTTTTAAAAAAAGTATATATTTGTTGGTGGTTCTGATATTAGATCATTCTAATGTCTGATTTTGGACTTTGTTCTGTGTTTAAGATAAAATATGTAGAGTAACAGCACATTGTGCTCATTTTCAGTATTTTTGTATTAATAAAAATATATTTTTTTATACTATTGATTAAAAAATTTTTAATAAAGAAGGAAATTTTTTCTATTAGGCTTCTGTGATTATATATTGCCTTCAGATCAATACCCATCTGGTTATCCATTTGATGCTGATGAACAGAATTTTCCCCTGGATAGTTTAAGGTTCTTAGGATTAATATCCATGATTGATCCTCCTCGTGCTGCTGTTCCAGATGCTGTTGCCAAATGCCGTAGTGCTGGAATTAAAGTGAGTAGAAATGATTTATATACTTCAAAATCTGGCTCAGCATCTGTTGAGTAAAATTCCAGAACTCACTTTTTAATATCTTAGAGGCTGAAAATATGTTTAAACTTTTAAATTGAAAAATGCACCCAATGTAAACGTTTGAATTATTTTATAATAAAATAACTGCTAAATTAAAGAATGTGTTTAATGTGTGCATCCATCTGACACAATTGAATATCATTTTGCCGTAAAATTTTTTTCTTTATTTGTATTCATAGTGTTAATAAGATAATGTTCTCTAGTTACACCTAAGGTTAATACATCATCTTGGCTATTTATGTATTTCCCCAATCCGGCCCAATTCTTTATATTCAAACAATATGTTGTGTTCCTTTAGACAATTTTATTGTTCAAGAATCCGTAATGTTTAACATAGTTCTGTTTAACATAATAATGAAAGATTTCATTTTCTTATTGTGATTTAAAAAAAGTTTTTATTTTGAATTGAGTCTGGAAAATGCTTTTTCTGCATTTAAAAACTTTTGGAACAGATTACAAATCCTCGCCTTCCTTTGTACCTCCTGTAGCACAGCTGCTAATTCTAGTATACCATGGCATAGCATTTAAAATTTCTGCTATAAAAGATTTATGTTGTGTGTATGTATATATGTGTGTGGGGGGGGGGCGGGGTTCTTTAGTTTTGAAATTGCAATTCATGTTCAAACAAAACACATTTAATAAAACATTAATACATCTATAATATAGTTCATCTATTAATACAACATCTATAACATCATATATCTATTACCCCGACATCTATAACATCTTACATCTATATCATCTTACATCTCCTCTCATAAAACAAAATGGAGTTCTATCAATTTCACTCGTGCAGTCAACAACTAAAAATTAAACAGCGCGCTAGGAAAAATATTAAGCTGTAGATTTAAAATGCCACATTCGGCCTTTCTGCTATGCGTCGACCTCGACGACATTATTCTACTGTTGACATCATAAATCATTGGTCATCTCACAACATCAGTGTCTTCGGTAAAAGAACTACCATAAAAAATAAGTTGAAACCTGAAAAGAAATACAAAGTGAGAGCGGAAGATTGTGTGCTAAGGACAAAATTGAAAGGAAACATCTTAATTGTCCTTTATCTTTGCAACAATAACATCGTCAATAGTCCTTTCTATTTTTCAGAAAACTTCATCTGAAATGAAAAATATCTTCAATCTTTAACATTTTCGAAAGCTTCATTTCATCTTAAAAATAGATTAACTGAAATAAAAGTCATTATCCTAATTCGGTGAACAGCTGTATCACTCCAGGTTAAAACATCATAGTCAGTATTATTCTATACATCTTCTGCTTGGGTCCATTGTTTTATGTACTCAGCACATGTAGTTGGTTTTGTGGGTCTTTCATGATCTCCTTCTTTTACAACATCATAAGTGTCATTGTCTTTTATTTTTACAATTTTATATGGGCCTAAATACTTTGATATTAACTTAATGTTTGATCCAAATTGCATTCTTTTGATTGCTACTAAATCATTAATTTCATAATATTTTGGAGAACATTTTCGAAGGTTATATGTTTTATGTGTTTTCTTATTTTATTCCTCTACCTTAAATATTTGTTTCTTTCTATCTTTTCGAAGTTCTTCTTGGTAAGTTTCAAAATTATTTTGAATTTCTGCGTCAATTATTTCTTTAATGCTTTCTTTTCCAGAAGTATAATCAGTATCTGCTTGAAAATTAGAAGCATTCTGTTTGCTTACTCCAGAAATAAAATTAACAGCTGATATTGCTATAGAAAATCTTGTTTGGGGGACAGAAGATTCTTCAAGGAAATATCTACGCCTCTTATATGACGTTGTCTTATGTTTAGTTGATTTGTAAGTTGATTTCGTGCAAGATGGTGTTGTAACAGCATCAGCACCACATAGGTCTCCATAATGTTCCCAATCATCAGCATTAAGAATTTCTTGCAACTGACGAAATTCTTCATGAGTGATCCCCTTTTTCCTTTCCAATTCTGCTTGTTTAGCAAATAATCTCTTCTACATAATCTTTCTCATGCTTTTCAAAAGGTAGCTTTTCTTGCATTTTCAGTTTAACATATTGAACTTCTTTTTCTTGCTCAGAGAGGATTTTATCTTTATGCTCATCTGAAATTTTGTAGTTTCTGCTTCATTCTTTGCTTCTGTAACATTTCTACTCTCTGTTCTGATACAGAAAGTTTTCTTTCCAAAGATCTAACTTGTTGTTCAGGAGCATCCAAACCCATTTGTAAAATAGATTTTTCTTGTTTTAATTGTTCTTTATGTATAATTGGTAAACGCCTGGACTTGCATGCATCATTAATATCCAAACAATGATCTAACTCATCTTCTTGGTCTACGTTTGCATTCATTACATTCGATTCAGTTTCATCTTCTGCTACTTTCATAGATATCTCGCTCTTGTTTATAATAATTTCCATATGCGAAAGCAATTCCAATAACGATATTTTCTTTCATTGTTCTGAGGCACAACATAAATATTTGATTTAATTTCACAATCGTCGATTCGTATGGAACCTTTAAAATAACCAATATGTTTTACTCCATTATTACCAAAGCCTACTAGAATCAAACTGGAAGAATTAACATTAGGTGAACCAGTTATTTTATAAATATTTTCCGATACTATATTTATATCACTTCCTGTATCGATCTTCTTTTACTTCCAAATTATCTATCAATATAATTTTATGTGTATCATTTAACTGCTTGTTTACAAATATATGATTCACTCTGGCAAGATCTTTTGTGTTTGTCTTAATTTTTATACATTCTGCAGCTATGTGTCCAAATAAATTATAACAAAGCATTTTCCCCCTTGCTCTTATTTTTGAAAAAGTTCTCCATGTGGCCAAGATTCCTGCAGTTATAGCAATGGATATTTGTTGTTATTTTACTATCAAAATGGTCACGTCTGGTTTTAGAATTAGGTTTAACGGATTTGTTTTTATCATTATCTAATTTAATTTTTTCATATATCTTAAGTTTTTCCTGAAATTCTGCCAAAATTTTACAACCATAAAGAATAGCTTTATTTAATGTAGAATCGTTTATACCATTAATAACATATTCAAATAAAGTGGCAATTTCAATATTACCTTTAGACACATAGTTTTAATTACCAAAAAATATTCATACAGCAATTCTTTTTCCTGCATTTTACATTTTGATAATAATTCATGTAGCTGAGCAGAGTTATACTGAACACCATATTCATTTACTAATAAAGCCTTAACTGCATTCCACGAATTAATTTTCATTTCACTTTCAATAAATAATTTTGCTTTGCCAGTTAAAGATCTTTTGGCGAATATCAGTTTGTGTAATTCATTTAGTTTTAACAAATTAGATATATCCTCAAAGTTTTCAATAAATTTCTCAACCGAATTATACGGATTATCATCAAATTTAGAAATCAAGCTTTCAATGTCATTAAAATTTATATACGCATTTGAAAACTGTGAAAATGGAAATTTAACTGATGACTTACTAATATTTCGTTTGAGCTCATGATCTTCATCAATAGCAGCAAAAGAAGAGTCGTTGAAAATTCGAGCAGTTGATGCAGCAGTTTCGCTGTTGACAGCAGTATTTCTTCTTTCATTCAATATTGCTTCATATTCCTCTATTTGTTGTTTGTAATTTGATCCCGATTCTGAGACCAATTTTGTGGGTTCTTTAGTTTTGAAATCACAATTCATGTTCAATAAAACATTAATACATCTATGATATAGTTCATCTATTAATACAACATCTATAATATCGTATATCTATTACCACGACATCTATAACATCTTGTATCTATTAACATAACATCTTACATCTATTAATACAACATCTATATCATCTTACATTTCCTCTCATAAAACAAAATTTTGAGAGTTCTATCAATTTCACTTGTGCAGTCAACAGCTAAAAATCAAGCGGCGCACGAGGAAAAATATTAAGCTATAGATTTAAAATCTCACACATATATATATATCAGTTGGTTGCATAGATGCAGAAATACAGCATTTTGTAGAAGCTGATTCGTAATGAAGAACAGCTTGGCAGTTGAAGCAGATTAAGTATTAATCTTTATTTCAGTAGACAAGTTTGTGGCCACAAACAACTTGTTACTGTAATTTGTACCTATTTCAAAATGTTTACGTTTTGGATATATTGTGGTAAAAAGAGGAGCTGCAAGCAACAGTCTATCTAGGCTGAAGTCTAGAAAGCAAGTGACTTGTGTTCAGGATGAAATCTTAATTCAGAACGAGTTAGTTTCGGTTTTCAATGCATTTTATAGGCTAATTTAATAAAGCTGCAAAATTATTAATGGCTGTTTTAGTTCCACTTATAACATCATCATATGACATAGGTTAGGCTCAAAATGACACAATACAGAGAGTTATTACTATTTTCAGAATAGAGAGAGGGGAAATATCCAAACTTAGCATTAAAGGGCTAATGCTAATTTAAATTAAAATTTATACTAACATGTTTTATCTTTCTTAGGTCTAAATATTTAGTAAGGGAGAAAATACAAAGTTGCCAACACATCTAACTAATTTTCCTAGAGTAAAACTAGAAAGCTATAGGTATCAAATAACTTATTTCCTTAACAGATCAGCTTAAGAAATGTTACAATATGGCTTTGTGTTTTACAGGATAAATATAGCTGAAAGGATTATAGCCTTATATTTTTGCTTTAAAAGTGTTACTTTATGCATTTAATAGGTTATTATGGTTACTGGAGATCATCCCATCACTGCCAAAGCCATTGCAAAAGCTGTTGGTATAATATCTGAAGGAAATGAAACTGTTGAAGACATTGCACAGAGGTTAAATATTCCAATTGAAGAAGTTAATCCTCGGTAAGGAGTGAAATAATATGTACATATGATATTAACTCAGTCATGAGTTGCCTTTTTTAATTAGCTTATAATTTTATTGATCAAAACAAAGAAAGCAAAGAAAATTGAGTCGTTTGCTTTGTTAATATGCATTTATATATATATATATATATATATATATATTATGTTTGTTTGTTTGTTAATATGCAATCTGTCAATGCATATATAAAATATTACTGAAATAAAATTATGTATGGAATGAGCTTTTTTAGCAAATTATATCCAGTTGCTTTGTTTGCATTTGGCATAGTCTCACATTTATATATGTAATACAACTAACTATTAATTCCCAAAAAAACTGAGGCTACTAAGTAGTGTGTGTGTTCTCCCCTCCCAATTTTTAATAAGATTTTTATTAAATTTGTGTCCAATAAGTAACCATTTTAAAACATTGTTAAAAATGTACTGTATTAACTGTTTATTGGATTACCTGTATACAAAGTCTGCAGCCTGTGAAACTGAACTTCACCAGCTCTGTGATTTGGTTTAAGAGCATATTTATATTAAAACACAAATAAGGATAATTTAAAACTTTTCCTGTTAACCTGTGGGGAGGGGGCAAGATTTTTGGAGGTCATGATTTGATTGTCATTTTGTGTTCAGTACCATAAATAGTGATGAAGGTTCAGTAAAGTTGAAATCAAATCTCTTACTTTTAGTAATAGGTTAATTTTACTACTAGGTGCGATTAAATATTTGTTAAGAAATTTTATGTGGAAATATATTTTAATCGCCAAAGAGGGCATAAATCTTTCGTGATGTTATAATTCTTGTTCTTGGATCTGGCAGAGCCAGTTGAATGTGTGTTAGACTTGAATAAACTTGGCAGTTTAGAAATCTGATTCGTAGTGTTCATTTACCTTGATATTATGTGTGATTGAATAAGTGTTTTTTTTTTTTTTGAGCCAGGATAACTTGAAAATCTTGACGGTTATATAATATCTTATATTTATGGCGCTCAACAGTTGCGCATGAACAATTTTTTTGATTTAGAATGCGTTGTTTTTTGTGTTAGTGAAAAATTATTCCTTTGCACTGAACGTGGCAGGATAAACATTCAGAATACTTGTGAATGTGCTTCACCAGGAGAGTGAGTTCCTAAATTAGGATTATACCATTTGAAGCCTGCACCAGGTAAGAGAATGAAATTACTTTTGTTGTTATTATGGCAGACGATATTATTAAATTGAAAGCTACTAGAAAAATTGTGAGACAAGCTATTTCTAAAATAATAAATGTTCTAGAACCTGAAATTAAAAAAGACATTTGGGATAAGAATATGGTAGAAAAAAATGTGTTTTTACTTACTTCTAAACAGCCTGCGTTGAAAGAAATTAATGAAAAAATATTGGATTGTTTTAAAGGGGATGAGTTTGAAATTGAGAAAGAATGTAATACTGTATTAGAGTATGATGAAAAAATGAGTTTATGTATGTATTTTTAGGGCTAAAAAGAAACTTAATTTAAATTCTCAGATAGTGAGCATTGAAAGTGAATCGCCTGGTAACCATACTGCTGCTGTAAAGGTCGAAAACAAAACTAACATTCGGTTACCTAAAATTTCATTTCCTAAAATATTATAGTGATCCTAGTTTATTTTTGGAATTTTATAATTCTTTTGAAAATGCTATTGGTAATAATAATGAGTTAACAAAAGTCGAGAAGTTTACCTATCTTAAATCTGTCCTCGCAGGACCTGCTTTAAGTGCAGTATCTGGGTTTGCACTATCTAATGAAAATTCTATAAGTTTAATTAAAGAAAGATTTGGACGAACAGATTTGGTAATATCTTCGCACATGAATAAACTCTTAAATCTTGAACCGGTTAGAAGTTGTCCAATGTGAAAGCACTAAGAACACTATACGATTCTTGTGAAATCAATATAAGTTTAAATTCATTAGGTATTGTGTCGGAAGCTTACAGAACCCTTTTAGGACCTGTTATTTTAAGCTTTTGCCAGACTTTATGAATCTGGAGTTTAATAGAAAAAGAAACTCTAAACTGCAATATAGCCTAACAGAATTTCTCGAATTCATTAGATTGGATGTTGAGAGTCAGGAAGCTTCTAATTTAATAATAAACTCAAAGAAACGGGTCACAAATTATGGTGTTTAAGCAGAATAAAAATAATTACTTAAAAGGAGCAAGTGTTTCTACTGCTTCGGCATTAGACTTCAGCCTTGTGAGTTGTGTAATGGTTTAAATCATAATAAGCTATTTTGTAAAAATATTGTTCCTGAAGTGGAAGCAGTTCCAAATGTTAAACAGAAAGTAGTAATAACAGTATCAGATTCTAAGCAGATTGTAGTTGCATCTCTGTCATTTAACTCTAGGACTGTTTCTGAAACTGCTGATAAGGGTATATATTTAAAAATTTGCACTGTTTACGCTTCAGATACAGATAATACTAGTAAAAATTTTAATTGATGGTGGATCACAGAGGTCATTTATTAGATCTGATTTAGCTAAAGAACTAAAATTAAGGACTTAAGGAAAGATAAGTTATATATTTATTCATTTGGATACATCCAGGCTAGATTAATGGAATATGATATTGTTCAAATTACCCTGAAAAGTATATATTGCCCTAATGACTCGATCACTGTTGAAGCTCTTGTTACAGATACAATTTCCGAGGTGATCATAAAAATTTCCTCCAAAAACATTTTAGAAATATTAAAATCAGAAAATTTAAAATTAACCGATAATGGTGAAGCAGCTGAAATAAAAATATTTTTAGGATTTGATTCATGTTGGGAAGTGCAAACAGACGAAAAGAAAACAGTAAGTAATAAATTATTTGCGGTGTCTTCTATATTTGGCTGGTCCTTGGTTGGATCTTTGGAAGGTGATCAGTCTAGTGCCTGTATTTTTACAACTAGTACTTCTCATTGCTTGAAGGAAGATAATGATTCAGTTAATGACTGTTTGGACCGCTTGGGTTTAGAGGAAAAGGAGAATCCTAATGATAGATCAATCATTGAGAAATTTGAAAAGGAATTGCATTTTACTAACGATAATGGAAATCACATCATGCAAACTTGGGTAATAATTTGGAAAATGCCAAGCAACGTGTATTATCTTTGGTTAATAAACTAAAAAATGATGAATGGCTTAGGGCGAATTATGATAGCATAATAAACGAACAGTTAAAAAATGAAATAATTGAAAAGTGTGAAATTGAAAGTTATGACAGTAGTAAAATGTATTATATGCCACATTCTCCAGTGTAAGAAAAAATGTATCAATAACTAAAGTCCGTATCGTGTTTGACGCATCTTCGAAGTGTAATGGAGTATCTCTGAACAATTGTTTGATGCCTGGCCCAAATTTGAATCCTTCTGTTTTGGACTTAATATTGCGGTTCAGACAATAAAAACATGCGTTCTCAGCAGACATTGAAAAGGCCTTTCTCCAGATTGGAATCTCTGAAACTGATAAAGATGTATTACAGTTTTAATACTTTGATAATAATTACAATTTGAAACATTATAGAATGACTCGTGTTTCTTTCGGTGTGTCATATAGCCCTTTCATTCTGGTGTGCCCTATAAAAAAGCATATAAAGAAAATAGAGTTAGAAAATCCAGATTTTTGAGATGTTGAACTGTTCGATCTACGTAGATGATGTTTTCTATGGTGCAGATTCTGTGGAACAGGCTTTTGTTAACAAGTTAAGTAAGTACTGGAGAAGAACAAGTTAAGTACTGGAGCCTATTGCGTGCTTAAAGATGCCGGAATGAATTTGCGTCAGTTTAATACAAATTCCGAGAAACTAAAAAAACTTTGGGATGATTGTGGAATAATTAAATCAGAAAATGAACTAAATAGTTCTTTAAAAGTATTAGGGCTTAACTGGTGTACGAGTAAAGATGTAATTTTCCTTGAACATAGACAACTTGTGCGAAACATTAAATAGTTGTAGAAAAACCACAAAAAGAAATATATTAAAGGTGACTGCTACTATTTTCGATCCAGTAGGTTTCTTGGCGCCATTTGTATTACGTGCAAAATTGATAATGCAAAACCTTTGGCAGTTGGGTTTAGAATTTGACGACGAAGTTCCAACTGAATGTAAGCAGTTGTGGTCCGAGTGGAGCGGTGAAATTGAAAAGTTAAAGAAATTTGAAATTTCTCGAGAATATTTCCCCGGCAAATTGAATCAAAATAAAGATATCGAACTTCATTTATTTTGTGATGCATCTATTAAAGCGTATGGTTCAGTTGCATATTTTAGGTCAGTTGAAGAAGGACAGGTAGCATTCATTATGGCAAAATCTAGAATTGCACCAATAAAACAAAAACTCACACTTCCAAAGTTAGAATTGCTAGGAACATTAACATCGGCAAGACTTACTAAAAACTTAAAAGAGCTGTTTTCAGTTCATGAAGAAATATTTATCTGTGGACTGACAGTATGATAGTGGTTCACTGGATTCATAGTGCTCCTGAACGATGGAAAATGTTTGTAAAAAATCGAGTATCTGAAATACAATCATTAACTTGCCCAAATAACTGGAGACATTGTAATGGGAAGTCCAATCCAGCGGACATTTTATCTCGAGGATGTTCAGCCGAATATTTGTTGTCTTCAAGATTATGGCAGTCTGGGCCAGACTGGTTAGTTGAATCAGTGAGTGCTTGGCCTAGTAAATTTATCGTGACAACGGAGTTTTCTGATGCTGAATTAGAGCGGAAAAGGTGTATAAATAATACCACAATACTGCCGTCTATTGCAGAAAAATCTAATTCTCTGTTGAATCTTGAAAATTATAGTAAATTAATTAGAGCTATTAGAGTGACTGCATGGATATTTAGATTTATTCACAATCTGAAAAATAAAACTGGCAAGAAAACAGGACCGTGGATAGCAGAAGAACTTTTTGCCGCAGAATTATAATTGATCAAAAAAGTTCAATCTGAACATTTTTCTGATGAAATTACTAATTTAAAGTCTGGACAGT